CCAATATACACCAACCTTAAAAAGGCCTGGAAAATAGACCAACCACAAAAGCGGGCTAATGACAACAGCTGACACAGCATTATCGAATTTTTTGACACGTTTAAAAATGTGAACTGTTCCTCACACTATTTCCTCACGTTTGAAGACGACCTAGCGTGCTAGTGTGGAAAATTTACGAATAAAGTTTGTAACCGTTTTCTGAAGAATTTATCCATCAAATTATATTTCTCGGGATGCCTATTTTCAAATTTATTCTGTGTACTACAATCAGGTCCGCTTCCCTATTGGAGAAGAAAGGAAACGACTCTGGTAAACGATGTGCTTTCTGCGATTGATTCTAAGTGATTATCAGCGCGCCCTCGACCAGCAACCTATGTGCCGGCGCATGCTTCTGGTTGGTTGATTGATTGGCTGCCTTGAATTGGCTGTGCTAGAGGCTGAACGAATGCAGTTCTGTAGCTAAACCACAGTGATCACCTTACTTATGATAAAACCAGTAATGAAAGGTGCTACCAACTCATGTCATTTAACCAATAATTCCTGAGCTACGAAACCGTTTCGATACTAAATAACTGCATTCGGCCCGGTTTAAACTAGGTGCTTTTTCAGACATATCCCAAGGCACACATAACAGCAGTTGTTCACACGTTGAGGAAAAATAATCACACGATATGGCTTTGAGGATGAAAATGCTGCGTCCCTGCATCAAGCCGGGTAGGGTTGTTGTTTTTACGGTTATGACTAAGGTAATACACCAATTTTGGGTTATCATCTGTCACACTCTTTTATCTACCCATTTTGGCTAACATTTTCCCACCAGAAAAGAAGCCAGAGCTGAGTGTTTTGAGAGTCGTTGCCAGGAACACCTGTGCCCCTGTTTTTATCCGACTTTTGGAGTCAGTTTTCCCCATTAATTTGCGAAGTCCTGTGCTATTCTCAGAAAAACAAAGCGCATTACGCAGTACGCATGACCGGAATTGAGGAGGACCATCCCGTATGCTGACTAAGTCAGTCACCTTTTCTTACCTCTGATGCCTTATTTCAGATTCATCTTTGATGACCATACATTTTTTCTCTCACGCCGGCTGTCAGTAATTATTAACGTGAACTTACTATATGCAGCCCATGAAGTCAGTAAATAGATAAAAATGTATTAACGAGCAGGTACTGTTGACTCGATTACTCTATTTAATAAAAGAATGAATGTGCTGACTGCTGAAGTGAGAAGGAACTCTGGATTTTCTGACATTGTTATTTTACAAATTTTCTTGAGACGCCCAGAGGAATTTCCCTGGTGCTTTTGTGTTTCCGGTGTATCTCATAGTTGACACTCAAATTTATCCAACATCTTTTTTTCATCAGAAGACCCAGGAACTGTATCTTACGCCTCACGCAAGTTGCTGTTGGTTTCTCGCATTCCTTATTGGTGATACATCTCCCGTAACCACGCGTTCTGTTGCGTTGCTCGCATATTAGTAGTGCAGCTTTTTTAATCTTGAGAAGGCCCATTTTATCTGGCCAAGATATAGGTGTTACATGAATAATTAGAACGGCCGTATCAGGGTCCATTAGGAGCAAAACTGTAAATGCCATAACTTGTGAAAAGCGACTTAAACCTCGGTTATCTGATGGAATCATTTTGCAACCTTTCTCCAATTGCACCTGGGGTATTTCCTGTGACTATTTGTCTTTTTTATTTCACTGCCAGTGCTGTCAACTGTTCATTAAAAACTATTGCACATTTGTACAGGTTTCATCAGAGTTAATTAACAGATATTTTGACCGTCAGTTAAGTTAGATGCAACAAAAGTTAATTAAATATCTATGAGGCATGCAGCAACGTCTCGCCGTGATTTACTTGCTTGTTCACCAGCCTAATAGATTGGACTTTGTATGGATTTTTTCAAACACGCTAGCCAGCTTGATTGGAATAACGGTATTCGTCAATCTAACGGATTGCTCAACGTAAAAGCCACCTTATCAAACAACAAACTAAAAGACTTTAGTGAAACGTTATTTTGACAGCATAATGTTCGTGTTTTTAAACAGCACTAATTAAACTAGCTCTGAATATTCGAACTTGCTCAAGGTCGTTGGTTAATATTTTAAGGCTTTGCGTTGGCGCCGGATCTTTAGTGATTAGCAATTTCAGCGGCTTATGGAGCTAACGTAAAATTTATTTTTTAAAAACCAGGAAATACCGGCTCGCCTTCGATAAAAAAAACCAAATTTCTCGGTGATAGTAACTTTGTCCTTTGCAAATCTAATGGTTTATACTATGGTATGTGTTCGTCAAAACGTCCTCTGAATGTTCTGTGCCAAATGTTGGCACTGATGCGTCCCCATCTTCCCATTCAATATCATCAATTTATTGTAGCACCTTCAAAATGATTCTCACGCTCTGTCTCACTCCTTCAGAACTAACCAACATTTCAATTTGTAGTGCACATTTAGTGACCATTGACACGTCAGCACGTAGTACCGATACACCAGCATAAACGTTGGATATCAGCAAAGAGCCAAAGGTCAGCTGTTTTTTGTTGTCCATTTCACAGCTTTATTGTTTCATGTACATTTCGCAACTAATAATAAAACGATATTCTGTGAAGTATCCTCTCTCCCTCCTGCCAGCTGGCTAATTCTCGCGGATAATCTTCTTGATCCATTCCGTATAGTAGCCGATCCTAGCGAACAGAGCGTAATGGCCAAAGCCACTGCCGTGAGCCATTCCTATGATACCGTACACCACCCACTGTCCATTGAGGTCTTTGCAATGCACGCCGCCTCCGCTGTCACCTGGGGCGAACGACTACAGAAGAAAAACATAAGTGCACCGTAAGACGACTAACACATTGTGAGATTTGCATTTTTGCAGTTTTTTCTTACCGTCATTGTTCCTTGTAGACAGCCATGTCGCTCACGATTGACCTCAATCTCCGCTATTTTGCAGATTTCTGTCGGAATAGTTGGCGATGCGCCCTCCATCAGTTTCGTAGTTTTACGCATATCTCTGCCAGGTATTGAAGCGTCTTTTACCAGTCCCCATCCAGTGAAATAGCACCAGTGGCTGGTTGGCAGTTCGAGGTCCTTCTCTGGTAGGCATGCATACTGCACTTGGACACCTTTAAAACACGATACATTGTGCACAAAAAACCATAGAAAATCGACTACACGGCAACTTCGTCTTGACTGAGGAACGTAATAATTAGGAAACAGCCCCTCTATCGGTAAGTTTTGTCTATAAGCAGCATCCTAGTTTACTTCACGCAACTAAAACCTTTTTTGTAATTTATTATTTGGGTTAGTTTATTTATTTCTTAACTTTATGACTCTGTCATTAGCTTACGCCTAATTAATATATCTATTGGTGTAGTTAGTTTACTTAATTGTGTTGCAGTAAAGTCAGTTTAGTCCAGTTTTATAAAAAAAACCGTACCGTACAGGCAAAACAGTAGTATTCGTAACTGTTTTTTAGTGGTCTTCAGTGTTCCAGGGGGCGCTGGTGCCTTACAGTCAGCTCTGGGAAGATATAAGGGCTTAATATTTTATTCGCAAATCCATAGCTAAATCATTGCCTTCAGTGTCATGCTACTCACACTCGAGAACGCTTGCCTGTGTTCGCTTGCGTTTGAATGCTTTTTCAAGGCACATTTTAAATATGCCTACATTCAAAACAATTAACAAACAAACTACTGCGTTTTCACATAAGGCACACAGAAACCTTTGCAGTTGCCCAAAAGGTTCTTTGCAACAATGGAGACTGCAATTACGTTGGAGAAACAGGCCGCAACTTGCAGAATCGCCTACACGAGCACCAACCAGCGACTCGGGTACTGAACCCAAAATCGCAACTTGCAGCGCACACCGCAGATACTGGCCATGACTTCGATCTTCAAGGAAAGACCATCGCAGTCCGAGGAGCATCAAAAGCTGAAAGACTGACGCTCGAGGCATGGTACTCAGATGCCAACTTTGTCAACAGGCATCTAGACCTCCCCACAGCCTACAAAGTCTTGCGCCATTATGTAGGAGGAGACAGAACAAATCTAAACCAAACGTAAGAATGGCAAGCGAAGAGGAATTCACAACGAACAGGCCGGAATAGGAGGCAGGGTTATCAGGACCCTCTGCCAGGTGACAAGGTGCCACAGTAATTGCTGTTCATGTCCTCCGGCTCCACTGACAGCTAATAAGAGGACACCACTATAATTGCCTCCCCGACTCCACTGAAAACTAATATCCCTCCTCCCTGATCCCTTTTGATTGCTATTTCTAACACCTTGACAACGTGAAGATTTCTGACAGTTGGTTGGCCTATGGCCCCTATAATTAGCCTCTTTTTGTTGCTACTTCTCACCTCTGAAGATGAACTTCTGTAAGAGTTCGAAAGCTCAGGACAGGAAATCAATTCATCTGGTGCTCAGCAAGTCTTCTTTCTCGTCTATGCGACTGCCTGGAACGCGAACTTTCTTATCCATTGAGGCACACTTTTGGCTGAAATGCACTGAACGTAATTCACACAATTCCCACTTTAAAAAAAAGCAAAGGAAAAATGCTCTCCTACTTCTTTTCAGTTTTGGTTCAATCCTCAGGAGTGCCACGTCGTAGGCCATCAGCTCATCTTTCGGCGTGTTTGGATGCAAGATAACATCCTGCACCCAGCGACCTTTTTTGAAGGCAGTTTTGACTGTGTAGTCATGGTCGCCTGCAATAATTACCAACTTCTGGCCTGTCAATTCTGTAAGATTGAAGAGGGTTCCAACCGGCGGGTCGTTGCAGTTGAATAATGGCGTAACGCAGTGCGCCGCGGTCAGCACCCAGTTGGGCGCAATCAGCGTGCCTCCGCAGAAAGGATATCCTCCGAAGGCGTAACTGTATAATCCGACCTGTGTATTGGTGTTTGGAACAGAGTTAACATATAATACCTCTTTTTGTAGCATTGTACTTAAAACCCGAATGGGGGTCCAGGCACTGGGCATAACCTCCGACCTGGCTGTGACCACTACAGCTTTCCTACGCGCTTTTTTCATTAAGGTGGACATAAATATGAAGATAAGTATAGATTGATTGGGAGCGTCAATGGACCAACACGTATTTCAATTGGCATTGGTCGACACTCTCGATTTCATCATCAGAGTACGTAGCTTGCTCTTCCGTAGGCCCTGAACGACCTCGCCTCACCACCGTCTTCGTACATTACGGCCTAGAATTCGTGTAAGATGCCGACATGTGCAAAAGATTGATACTATTTCGCTGATCGGCATTGAGTAAGGTTGTTATACTCATTATCGTGCAGTCTGTTCTGAAGTCATTTCAGTCACAAGAAGATGTCGGCTTTAAAAATGAGCTTCTTTCTGACCGCTAAGAATACGAATGTACTTTAAAAAGTGACTGCGTATGTTCTATGCCGTTTGACACCTATGGATACTCTAAGGCGCGTACAAGAGTCCAACTCCAACGATACAAGCCTGCGCACTTCCGAAACTTCGAGATATTAAACCTATTATCCCTATGATCGCCTCTGCTTCTAATTTATGCCCGGGACACGTATTTTCCCTTCAAATAGTAGTTTATTGTAACTAAACTGGAAAATTCGCCTCAACGCGGATACGCGAACATCAATTAGCGTTCAGAAGACGAGACCACTTATCCCGGTCTGCCATGCACACACTAGAAGCCGCTCACGAACTCGCGTGGGAGAACCCACGGATTGTTGGCACTTGCCCAAGCAAAAAAGGCCGTGAATTCCTTGAGGAAATGCACTCCGATGACCCGTGCATCAACAAGCGTATCGATTTGGACGTCGGCTATAATTATCTCAAGGCCAAAGTGCAACACGTGCGGCCAACCATGGCAGGATAGCGAAATTCAACGCACACCGCTAACCACGGCAGAATGACGAAACACAGGCAACGCCTATTGACGCAGACTTCAGCTTATTGTATTATACGTTTTTAGACATAGTTAATTTCATTAATTGTTCCTGTACATATCCCATAGCCTGACGATGAGCTGGGGAACCAGCCTAAATAATCTACACATTTAAACCTTCAAGATTCCCAAAGAAGCCATTCTTTTCTCAGAACCCATATAACAGCAGACTAATGTTATTTATCGCATCCCGTGTGCTAACTGTTCTTGCACATTCATGCAGGCCGACGGCTTGGGACACACATTCACGAACACCAGCTAGCCATCCGCCGACGTGACCCTCTGTCACTCGTGTTCGCGTACGTCCTTGAGTTTGACCGCGCCTTCAATTGGGATGGAACTGCAGTGGATTTCATGACCAACACCAAACAGGCGCGAGAATTCCTCAAGGCCTGGCACTCTTACTTAACCAGAATTAAGCGTCACGTAGATTTGGACGCACATTACAAAGGGATGCGCATACGGTTAACTGACGCACGCTCCAGACCTCCTGATCAGTACTTTTATTGCTACTACCACTACTATTACTACCAATGCCACTTCTATAACCACTACCACTAATACTGCACTACCACTATCCTATGCTGAGCCACGTTGAATATTACTGTTTCACCACTCCTACCGCGAACACAACGAACGGCAGTTGAAAACCCGCAACACGCTTTTCGATGCTTGGTCACGTTAGATAGCACTATCTCACAATCTCCAACCCAAACACAGCGAATGACAGCCGAAAATACTGGAACACGTCTAAATACGGTGCATTGAGCAGCTGAATCCACCGCATCGACCACGACGACATCTGTGGCCGCCGTCGTATTGGAGCGGCATCCTCTCTCATCTCTACACAGAGAGCCGTAGCACGCCTCAAACCCTCCCCACCCCAAATTCTACCGTAACCGTTTGTTCACCGCCACCTCCCTCTTTTCATACATTGGCTGTCTGTCTCTCTTTGTCTGTCCGCTCGCACAAACTGGCCTTCACCGGCCATTTCACTTTCTTTATTGTACATTTAGTCTGGCGACGGACAGCTGCCAGCAGCTTAAAACATTCACAGGTATGCCTTTTTTTCCCGATGAGTCTTTCTTTTTCATCATCTCATCTCGAAATGTAGTCTATTTCATCTATTTAATATATACATATATCGGAACAGATGGCGACAGTTTTTCCATGGGCGAC